CGAATGGGTCTCCTTCGGTAGCCCATATCATACCAAAATAATTAATGGGTTTCGGAGACCACATCGGCGCGACCATATGGACCCAAAATTCGGCGAAAACAACCAAGAAATAGACTTGAATCAAGCAAAATTCCGTCCAAACGCATAAACCCCAACTCGCAACTTCCGCCGCTCAAACAGCCTCCGGCGATCACCGAAATGCCAGATTAACTTAGGGCTATTCTTCTCCATGGCGGTGTGACCGTGCCGGTCCAAAGTCGAGCAGTGGGTCGCCGGAATTTGGCTGGAATCGGCGATTTCCCTCTTAGCCCCAAAATGCCCGAATTACTGTTCATTTCAAAAGCTCCGAAAAATGCACCCAAAATTCAACAAAAACAAGGCAGAGGCACTAAACATGCTCTGATACCAAATGTAAGACTAAAACTAAAGGATTCTAATCATGCATATAAATTTTATGCACAATTAGAATCAAATGCGGAAAACAAGATCGTAAATAAACTGACCTCCAGCCATTGTTCAACTTTACGTTCGTCGGAAATCCACGATAGTTCGACGTCAATTCGAAGCGATTACGGGCGCACTCTACTAACCCAATCCCCTTGCGTACTGATGGTGTATTACCGAATGAGAGGGTTTGTGTTAGACCTTGTGTTAGCCCTTATGGAATGAACGTTCATCTTTATAAACCGCTTCCCATCAAGGCGGTTACCGAAGAGGGCGGTTGTCACCGAAGGGGTACGAAGAGTGGAAAAACCGACAGTGGATAACCGTCACTCAAAAGAGAAAACGTGGGTCAAACCTAAATGTGGGATCACATTACAAATATAACATTGGCACGATCGAGTTGAACAATATTTGGTGGCGAAGGCATTATTCACACACGTTTGTGGCCAAAAATCCTAGTGGGCTGGAGAAACTCCGAATAAAATCGTACAGCAAAAACATATTAGTCACTTTTGAAGCCCCTCTCGATGACGGGTTATGACTCTACTTTAGGGAAAATTGTACAAAAAATCATAAATCTATTGCACTTTTGTCAATTCAAATTTGTCTCATTTTACACGAGTCCGGTAACACTAGTCGCGCTCGTTCATTGACTTGTCCAACTTGTGTACACATAATACATGTTATGTTTATCTAATGACCCGGTTTGTAAAGCTCACATTTTAGTCGGTGTTTGCTCATGTGGCTCATCAACACTCTCCCCATATTTGATGTGTAGTGCAATCCATCCCTAACCTGCATCGTCCGAGAAACATGTCAAGAGCCGCAGTCTTAGCCCTCATTGGATCGGCTTAGTCCTAGACGATCCATGAAATACATCTGTTGAATATTATTCGATTCTAATGTCATCCGTAACGAGGCGTCCCCCTTTTTAAGTGGGCCAAACCCGAAAAAGAAGTACTCCAGAGTGACTGTAATAACGCGGCGGCTATTTGGGTTTGAGTGTTGACGAAGACCTTACCCATTGATGTGAGGCTGGAGATGTCCAAGTATAATTCTTGCATTGTCGGTTGCTCTATTTACCACATCTTTTGGAGAAGAGTTTAATGTTAGTGGAGCCTGGAGCAAGTTTGGAATGGACGATTGTTCTCATGCTAATTGGCCATATTCTTCCATGGAGAAAACTGTCTCCGGGTAACAAATTAGCCATTACTTAGAATTATTTCAGTTGACATATAATTTAATCTCTAAAGCAAACAATCAAATGTCTGGTTAAAAGAAGTTTCCTCTAACCAGGAATAATAAAAAAAACACTATCATTTTGCTAATTGGTAGAGGTGATCATTGGGCTGGCCGTGCTGATATATTGAACAAGCTTGCCCATGATACAAAAATTTCATGAAAACATTCGGTTTGAGCCGGACCGGGCTTTATAATGAATGTAAGGTGTCGCTCAAACAAGTCCATTTTCCTTACGAGGAGCTCGACCGTTGATCACCTTTACTAACCGGATTGGTAATCGAGGAAGAAATATTGCATGGTCTATAAATTATAGAGACCAAGTCTATCTCTACTGTTTATTGCTTGAAAATTTTTTGCTTTACTTTGGCTTATTGGAAAACAAGCCACTAATCGCACGAAGCTTGGTGGGATCGGTTCCATGGACCCACCCGGGAACCGGACCGCCGGTCCGGTCCGGTTCCCGGGTGGGTCCATGGAACCAATGGGCAGCTCTCGGTTTCAATTTTTTGGAATCGGTCCTTAGTGGGCGGTTCCTAATTCGAAGGTGGGAACCGCCCACCTGGATCATCCTCACCCCTAAATCATATGGGCTACATGATAGGTCCTACACAAGTAATGATTGGGATGATAATGGTCTACAGAGTGCATGAACCATGCAATAACTTCGCCATATTAAGTTGGTCAGATGCGCAATTTAACTCGAGCAGCCGCAATCACCGTTTGCCACGCGGAACATGGATGCATCACAAGGCCATTGCCGCGTTCATGCGATTGAAATCATGTTCAGATGAAAGGAAAAACGTCTCTTTGGCCTTGGTGAGATTCAGATGGCGGGAGAAGTATATCCAGCGAATACATAAATACGATCTGCACATGCAGAGAGCTTCGTGCCGATTGATGTCTACATATGTATATATTCTTGAAATAATACTTTTTCTTTAACATATTAGTACGAGAAATAATTTATCATAGACTTAACACAGATGAAGATTGCTGTTTGGGAGTTGACTCGAGCGATCCCCAGGCTGTCATTCCTTCACGGAACAGACCTGGAATGAAGTGGACCAAAGCAGATCAAGGTTCCACATCGATGTGTTCATCAACAGCTGGAGCTACTGCGATAGACTCGGCTCCGAGTTAGACATCCTACTAGTCTTCAGCTAAAAAGGAGAGGCAAAACAAAGAAGCGTCCACGACAGTTAACTGCTTTCATCTCACCTGCAAGTACTACGAACCAAACGCTTTGACAGGTGACTCCGCCATGGAAGTAAACGCTGAGTTGACATGGGTGTTTACCTTTCGAGGAGTTGCATTGCCATGCAGGATAATACTCGTGACAAATGCATTTGCCCTAACATCAGTTAAAACTAATCATTTGAGTTTGTGGCAGAAAAGTGTACCCATCATCCATTAGCAAACAATGTTGGCGATCCAGGCCCATATAGGCGTCCTCACAGACATATCATAGTTCCATTTAGGATATTTAAAGGCCTACAATCACGATGAATCCCCTCCCAAACGTCGGTGTTCCGTGCCCTGAGCAACGAAATCTAATTCGGTGTTGCGTCGGTAATTTGGCAAACGATGCCAGGAGTGTCAAAACAACTCCGGTAACCAAATAACCGATGACTTTGCTCTCCTGGTCAAGCGTTTGTAACTTATCAGCAAGTTTTTGACAAGTACCAAGACTTATTTATGCTTTAAAAATTGTCAACCGACTTTAATAGTCTATCAATATTTATTTTTATAACTTACCAATGCCGTGAAAGTTACTAAATTTTCAAAGCAATTGCCAACCTTGATTTGATTTTTGTATCGACATTTGACATAGTAAGATACCAATTAATTTTACTCACATACCAACTTTTTTGTCTTGCTAGGTTTGGAAAAAGTATCGTCATTTCTTTATACATCCTAAGATTACCAAGTGATTTTAGAATCTAACAACATCTATTATTGTGGTTGGTAGAATCTAACAACATCTATTATTGCGATTTACCAATGCCTTTGAAGTTTCCGGCTTTTATGGAAATGATCATCATTAACTAGATTGAGATATCAACTAATTTTAGTCACGCACCAACAATCTCGATGACATACCATTGCGGATTTTAGAATAAAAAAATGGGTAGAATATAGGAAATTACACCTTGCTCCACATGGCGGGAAAAGAGTATGAAGTAACATACAAATTTTATAAACGCCAACACAAAAAACAGTCATCTTTCTGGGGAGTTTCACTCGAGCAATCCTTCATATAAACAGCTTCCGCTGATCATAGTCTCACAAGTCGAGTCTTGACAGCTTCGATCGGCTTCTGCAATCATCTCTTTACTCGCGCTCGGTTTCTTCCATTCCCAAGGATTTCTCTTTCCTCTGCTTGATTCTGAATCTAGCCGTCCCTTGTTTGTTAGTTTGTATGCATTTCACCGTTTCTTAGCTCCAGACGTAAACAGCCATTTCCTTTTTGATTATCTTCTTCCATGAATTTTGTAGATTTAATTGTGTGTTGATTTTGTGCGGGACATGGACACCATAAGTGTCGTGACTTTCGTACAACATTCATTATAACTTTTTAATTGATCATTTGCGTATCGAGACATTTAAAATACATTTACTTGAATGTCATAACTTTTCAAGCGATCATTTGAGCGCTATAATTATAAAAATGTTCACCACAAGCTCCAGAGGTAAACTGCCATTTCCTTTTTGATTATCTTCTTCCAAGAATTTTGTAGGTTTAATTGTGTTATTTTGTGCCGGATATGGACACCATAAGTGTCGTAACTTTCGTACAACGCTCATTATAAACTTTCAATCGATCATTTGAGTATCGAGACATTTAAAAACATTTACTTGAATGTCATTACTTTTCAAGCGATCATTTATGCACCATAATAATGAAAAGGTCCACCACAAGTGTTGGATCGCTTGAAGAATTGTCACTCGAGTGAGTATCGTAAGAAAGTTATGATAATTATGGTGTCCTTTTCGCGATTGTGTGCCGAGTTGACCATCTTCTGCTCTTAGAAGTGCCGTGACCGAATCCAATTGCTTGAGAATTTCCACTTTTTAGAGTCTCTTTCATTTCTTTTTCCGGTTTTTCTGGGATAGTATAACTTTACGAATTGATGGTTCATGGCATAACATCATGAAGTTCCAAAGAAGAAATTAGTCAAGATTAAGCCTCTAACCTTCGCTAAACGTTACATTCATCTTACAGAGGATATCTGAAAGTTTCTTTCTTCTTTTTTCCGGGTGATAGACTGTAGTAATTTGTTAAATCAAGCTTGAAAAATCTTGGCAGGAATATAATGATCACGCAGGGAGCATTTGCTTGTACTCATTCATCTCTTTCGGCCCTGGAATGGAAGTATCAGATCAGACCTAGTGCTCTTATTCAACCCCGAAAACTATCCTCATCTTTGTTGAATCGTCAACACAACTCGGATCTATTTCTGAGGACTCCTATAAGGACAAGATGCATTTATTTCTCTTGTCTTTACAAAATTTGTCCAAGAAGATGTGGCATCCTCTGCAAGGCTCTCGCAAGCAATCATGAAGCTCCCTCTCCTCGATATAGGTATGATGTTTTCCTGAGTTTCAGGGGTGAGGATACCCGCAAAAACTTTGTCGACCATCTGCATGATGGTTTGCGGCAAAAAGGAATTATAGCCTTTCAAGATGATCATGACCGAGATCTTCCAAGGGGAGTATGCATCAAATCAGGAATATTGGGGGCAATAGAGAAGTCAAGATATGTACTTGTGATATTTTCTGAAAACTATGCTTCTTCTACTTGGTGCTTGGAAGAAGTTGCCAGCGCTGTGGAGTGCAAGGATATCAATGAAGGATCAGTGATACCGATCTTCTACAAGGTCAATCCATCCGACGTACGGAAACTAAGGGGAAACTTTGGGACCGACTTTGCTAAAATTGAGGAAACTCGTACGAATGACATGGGAGATATAAAGAGGTGGAAGAATGCACTGACAGAAGTAGCTGCTCTAGCCGGAAGAGACTTGAATGATGGGTAGGCCTCTCTTCCACTAACTTGGAATGATTTATTTTCTTTATGCTGCATGCCAAGAATGTCGTGACTGTCATACTCTGTATTATGATAGTTCACCTGAACCAGAATACATGAGTAACTCCTCCAAAAGTAAACAGCCTCGATGCTCACTGGGGAATTAATCATCTGCATTTCTTCGTTGCAGATTTGAGACACAGTTTATTCAGCAAATCATTGGAGATATCGAAAGTAGACTGAGTCTTCAGCGGTCCTATGTAGCAGGCGGCCTTGTGGGAATGCATTCCCGTGTTGCAAATGTAGTTCAACTTCTATGCTTGGGTGAGGATGATGTGCGCATTATTGGCATATGCGGAATGCGTGGCATAGGCAAAACAACTGTTGCACGAGCAGTTTATGATAAAATCTGCGGTGAATTTGATCATGGCCATAGTTTTCTCGCCAATGTCGGAGAAAATTCAAAAAAGTATGGTCTGATATCTCTTCAAAACCAGTTTCTCAAGGATATTCTCCAAGGGGAAAACGTGAGAGTCAGGGACGATCAGGAAGGAGCCAACATGATAAAAGAACAAGTGCGACATAAAAAAGTTCTTCTTATTCTTGATGGCGTGGACAAAAAGAAGCAGTTGGAAAAATTAGCGGGAGATCTTGATTGGTTTGGACCTGGGAGCAGGATTGTCATAACAACCAGAAACAAAAATTTGCTTCTCCAATGTGGAGTAAATGCCATATATGAGGCTAAAAAATTATCTATTGATGAAGCTGTCGAACTACTTTGTTTGAAAACTTTTAAAAGTAACCACTTCGTGCAGCATGTAAAGCAGGTTACTCAACGCGCTAATGGCCTTCCTCGAGCCCTTGATGTCTTGGGTTCCTTTTTGGCTAAGAGAATGTTGAAGCCATGGCAGAGAGTACGTGACATTCTTAAAAAACGTCTAGAAGGGAAAGTTTCTGACGGCTTAGAATAATCATTATGGACTGAAGCAGAAAGGGGAGGAGATTTTCCTGGATATTGCCTATTTCTTCAAGGGAAAGGAGATAACTTGCATTACAGAAGTTCTGGATAATTGCAGCTTCTACTCAGATGTAGTCCTTGTTCATAGATCTCTTATCACAATCAGGGACAACAAACTTATTACTATGTAATTTATATGTATTATGGGTCTTTCTATAATTATATTTCTATTTGTACTCTTACGGTAATTAGTCACTCATATAAATACATATAATACAACCTTAATGGGGGTTGGGCCGCCATAAATAGTTTGTTGTTATTTTCTCTGTGACTCTAAACATCAACATAGTATCGGAGCACGAAAACACATCAAATTGTCTACCCCGAATCAACACTTCCTTTGCTCCAATTGCTATCTCAACAATGTTCAATATATCTCCAAACTTTTCTTCTTCTCTACCATCTCTTTACCCATCATCTTCTCTTTCCCTCAATCCCAATTTTTCCATTACCTCTCTACAACTTTGTACTTACTTTCACCTATACTCACCCTATAATAGAATATTTAAATATTAAATCATGTCTTATAACTGGAGAATTACCAAAAAAGTCCTCACCCTATTGCGATTATGTCAATTCAGTTCATCCGGTCAATCTTGGCCGGAAATTGCTGACATGAACATCAGCTGTTTTACGTGACGCAATCGACGCTGATGTGGATAATTTTTAATAATGTTTTTAATTTTTTAATTTTCTTTATTTTTTTTCCTACCCTTCTTCCTGTGGCCGGCGAGGGCGACCCGTGGGCGAGGCTCGACCTCGCTGTTGCTAGGTGAGGTTGAGACTCACCCAACCATGGCAAGGCTTGCCCCCACCCAGCAATGGCATGGGCGAGGCTCAACCTTGTCAGTGGCCGACAAGGTTGACCTTGCCTGCTAGAGGAAGAAGGGAAGAAAAAAATAGAAAGAAATAAAAAATTTAAAATATTATTAAAAATTATCCACGATAACGCTGACCGCGCCACATAAGACGGCTAGCGTCCATATTAGCGATTTTCGATCAAAATTATCCAGATGGACTGAATTGACACAAATGCAAAATATTTATGACTTAATTGACAAAAAAAAAGTTTTAGACTGAATTGACACAATCGTAATAGATTTAGGACTTTTTTGATAATTTTCCCTCATCTGACATCTTGCTTTGAAGCTCCGATCGATACAGGAAGGCCTAGTACTGAGTGATGATTTTGCGCTACGCCTTGAAGAAAAATTCGACACGTTTCCCTCTAGGGCTCAATTCCAATCCAATTTTCCCGCCATTTCTATGTGGTGTCCCGGGAATTAATTGGATGGGGGGTTTTTAGTGCGCATCAAGCATCAAAGCAATCTGGAAATAGAAAAATCAGGTCCTTGTATTTTTCACTCTGAGAATCCATATGAAAATAAAACGATTATGTCGTTGCTGTGATTCTACGAGAATAAAAAATAAATCCACCTTCACCCATTATTTAATAGCTATCTAACTATTAATCGAAAAACAAATTATGCTTCGTGTTGATAAACTTTTATTTGATCGCTGAACTTAGACGTTTTGCAATTCCATTTTCTTAATCTGACTTTTGACCATTAAACCTACTCATCTTAATAACTTCTCTACATTTAAAAACTTTAAACAATATAAATACTACTTTTTTTTTTGGTTGAAATCTAAAAAATACTTCAATCAACTATTTCGTAGCCGCTGCTAGTTAATTATTGTTCTCCAATTTGAAAAAAAATCAATTATATTATTTTTATGCATGTGAACTAATTTATGTCTCATTTAACACGAGTCCGGAAACACTAGTCATGTGCTGTGGACTTGTTGAACTCATGTATAGTTAATACATGTTATGTTCATCTAATGACCCGGTCTATAAAGCTCACATTCTTGTCAGTGTTTGCTCGTATTGCTCATCAACACGCTCCTCCTATTTGATGGGTAAGGTGATCCATTACTATCATTTGTCATCGTCGAAACATGTCGGGAGCCGCGCTCTTAGCAACTCATTGGATGGGCTCAGTCCTAGCCCATCAATGAAATACATCTATCGAGAGGGGGTTCTCCTTTGATGTCATCTGCGATCGGGTGTCGCCCCTCATGTGGGCCAAACCCAGAACAAAAATAAAAAGAGAGAGAGAGAGAGAGTAAATGACTATATATGGCAGAGAGTACGTGACATTCTTAAAAAACGTCAAGAAGGGAAAGTTTCTGACGGCTTAGAATAATCATTATGGACTGAAGCAGTAAGGGAAGGAGATTTTCCTGGATATTGCCTATTTCTTCAAGGGAAAGGAGATAACTTGCATTACAGAAGTTCTGGATAATTGCAGCTTCTACTCAGATGTAGTCCTTGTTCATAGATCTCTTATCACAATTAGGGACAACAAACTTATTACTATGTAATTTATATGTATTATGGGTCTTTTTGTAATTATATTTCTATTTGTACCCTTACGGTGATTAGTCACTCCTATGAATACATATAATACAACCTTAATGGGGGTTGGGCAGCCATAAATAGTTTGTTGTTATTTTCTCTGACTCTAAGGCTGCGCATGACAACGATTCTGTGCCTAAGCATTCTGCTCGAAATGATTCTTTTTATTACGTGCCTGAATTGATTCCGAGCACTTTAAGACGTTGTTAACGGCCCAAAATTCCATCCCTGGAATAGAAAAAGAACAGAAATGCGTTTGATAACGCCACAAAATTTCTTTTTATTAATAATATTTGTAAATATTTTAATATTTTTTTCTTTTCCTCCTTCTTGGCCATAGCCTGCTCGTCGGCCATGACCGGTAAAATATTTTTTTATTAATAATATTTTTATTAAAAGTATTTTTTCTTTTTTTTTACCATGGCCGGGTCGCCGGCCATGGTAAAAAAAAAGAAAAATACTTTTAATAAAAATATTATTAAATATTATTAAATATTATTATTTTTTTTGGCTATGGCCTAGTTGCCGGCCATGACCGGTAAAATATTTTTTTTTATTAATAATATTTTTATTAAAAATATACATTTTTATTTTTTTGGGCTATGGCCTGGTCGCCGGCCATGGCCGGTAAAATATTTATTTTATTAATAATATTTTTTATTAAAATATATATTTTTCTTTTTTTTTTGCCATGGCCTGTAAAATATTTTTTTTTATTAAAAGTATACATTTTTATTTTTTTTGGCCATGGCCTGGTCTCTGGCCATGGCCGGTAAAATATTTTTTTTATTAATAATATTTTTTATTAAAATATTTTTATTAAAAATATATATTTTTTCTTTTTTTGCCATGGCCTGGTCACCGGCCATGGCCGGTAAAATATTTTTTTTATTAATAATTTTTTTTATTAAAAATATATTTTTTTCTTTTTTATGGTCATGGCCTGGTCGCCGGCCATGGCCGGTAAAATATTTTTTATTAATAATATTTTTTATTAAAATATTTTATTCTCATCAGATCCGGCGAGGGCGGTCCTCGGGCCGGACATTAGAAGCTAAATTAAAAACCAAGAAAAGGAAGAAGAAAAAAAAAATTGATTCTCAAAATTGTTCTCAGAATCAAGAAGCTACTTTTTTTTATTCTTGATTCTACTCCAAAACTGATTCTGGGAACAATTTTTGACAAAATTGTGCCCAGAATCAAAAAATTAAACAAACGCATTTCTGTTCCCAAACTGATTATGGGAACAAAAGAACAGAATCAAACACTGTTTGGCAAGTTGTCATGCGCAGCCTAAACATCAACATGGTATCGGAGCACGAAAACACATCAAATTATCTACCCCAGATCAACATTACCTTTGCTCCAATTGCAATCTCAACAATATTCGATACACTCCAAATTTTTCTTCTTCTCCACCATCTCTTTACCCATCATCTTCTCTTTCCCTCAATCCCAATTTTTCCATTACCTCTCTACAACTTTGTGCTTACTTTCACCTATACTCACCCTATAATAGAATATTTAAATATTAAATCATGTCTTATAACTGGAGAATTACCAAAAAAGTCCTCACCCTATTGCGATTATGTCAATTCAATTCATCCGGTCAATCTTGGCCGGAAATTGCTGACATGAACTTCAGTTTACGTGACGCAATCGACGTTGACGTGGATAATTTTTAATAATATTTTAAATTTTTAAATTTTTAAATTTTTTTTCTTTTCTTTCTTTTTTTTCCTACCCTTCTTCCTGTGGCCGGCAAGGGCGACTCGTGGGCGAGGCTCGACCTCGCTGTCGCTAGGCGAGGTCGAGCCTCACCCAACCATGGCAAGGCTTACCCCACCCAGCAATGGCATGGGTGAGGCTCAGTCTTGTCAATGGCTAGCAAGGTTGACCTCGCCTACTAGAGGAAGAAGGGAAGAAAAAAAAAAGAAATAAAAATTTTAAAATATTATTAAAAATTATCCACGTTAATGCTGGCCGCGCCACGTAAGACGGTTGGCGTCCATATCAGCGATTTCCACCTAAAATTATCTAGATGGACTAAATTGGCACAAATGTAAAAAGTTTTTGACTTAATTGACAAAAAAAAAGTTTTGAACTGAATTGGCACAATCACAATAAATTTAAGACTTTTTCAATAATTTTCCCTCATCTGACATCTTGCTTTGAAGCTCCGATCGATACAAGAAGGCCTAGTTCTGAGTGATGATTTCGCGCTACGCCTTGAAGAAAAATTCGACACGTTTCCCTCTAGGGCTCAATCCCAATCCAATTTTCCCGCCATTTCTATGTGGTGTCCCGGGAATTAATTGGGTGGGGCGCTTTTAGTGCGCATCAAGCATCAAAGCAATCTGGAAATAGAAAAATCAGGTCCTTGTATTTTTCACTCTGAGAATCCATATGAAAATAAAACGATTATGTCGTTGCTGTGATTCTACGAGAATAAAAAATAAATCCACCTTCACCCATTTTTTAATAGCTATCTAACTATTAATCGAAAAACAAATTATGCTTCGTGTCGATAA